AACTTTATACTGGTAATGATAAAGTTTGCAAAAATTCAAGCTAACGACACCTGTCTTTTCCCATGGTTGGAGGTCGATGGTTAACAGTTGCGGTTAATAGTTAGTGGTTTATTGCTATCTTTTATTATTTACAGTAATGCCTTGCATTGAGGCTGCGGATCTTCTTATTATACTTGTCATATTATTTACTTATCCTACTTATCTTACATCATATTGTGTTACGTCATATTGGTTTAGCGGTTAATAATTTACAAAATGTTTAACATTAATCATCTATAGTGAATTTATACAACTTTTACAATGATTACATAAACAGCATAGGTGCATACCACATACTTTCCAACCAAGTGTTTCTTTCATCAGGTCCTATATTTCATTTACGTAGTATTTTTATTTAACGTAAAAATATTACCAAATGATACGAAATTTAATGATACTTGTGCCGAATTGATTATAGTTCGTTATTACTAGAAGAGATACAAGGAGCAAATATAATACTTTCTGCGTCCTTTTAGCAATTTTCCTGTAGCTAGTAAGAATTGTATTCTTAATAGTATACTTACGCTATAGATGCTGTATATACCTTTCGATATGTTTTTTCATAATGTAAACAGGAAGCTAGGATGAAGAAAGCGGATGAAAAAGGGTGAGAGAACACGATGGAGACATGGAAGAGGCGCGTAATGACTTTCTATAGGAGGAAGGAGATAAAACCGAACGATGGGGGGCAGTCCTTAACGAGAAATTTATGTTCTGGTGTTGCCACCGCGGCGCGGATTACGCCGACGGAAACCGCGATTCTTTTCGAATTATATTCAAAGCGAATGGACGTTACGTTGCCTGTATTTACTTGTATTATAGATATACATATAGATGCGTGAACGCGTTACGTTGCCACATAAATGTGTTTTAGATTGCGACTTGGGCCTGAAATCAACTGTTTAACTCTTTCATTTCTCTAGTGCAAAGACCGCAGTCGTCATTCGCGAAATGGTGAGTAAGTAACTTAACGTAGACTAAGGTGTAGACTAGATATAAAATGATATAAGAAATTATTTCACAGATTTAACAATTGAACAGTGGAATAATTCGAGGCAAAATTATTTATTGCATTTAAATGAGCTAATGTTTAATTACTTCAAAATAATATCAGCCAAATATGGAGTAAAATAATTCAAAGAAGAGTCATTCGCATATTGAAATGCTATTTGGTCATCTACGGATTTAATATACATAAACAATAATTTGAATAACTTAAGATAATTTGTCGTTTATTCGATATAATATGTGCGTTATATGAACTAATTATTGTAGTTAGAAGAATGTGGTTTTAAATTAGGTAAACAACGATCAGGTATGATTTTCATTTTAATTAATTTTATTTTAGAGATAACAATAGAATAAAATAATTCTTTATTTTAGTTAACACTTTCGTATAAAATAGCAAATATTTTGAATTTTAATATTAAGTAGAATTTTAAATATTGTACCTTGCGTACCTTAAAATTGCAAATATAATTGAATTATGTTGCTATCTGACCGGAACAGAAGGTTCAGGGAATTTTGTTAAAACCAATTTCGATTTCGATTTCGATTGTGAATAAAATAATACGTTCAGCTGTATCGAGAGTCAATGTATGTTTGCGTGTGTATTATTGAAATCATCTTATTTAAACAGAGGATCGACAGATTATTTTCCATAATTGAAACGGTGCTATCGAACAGTCATAAAATGCACCATATGCTGCGTCTTCATGAAGCGTCGCGCTTTTATCGCGTATCATTGTCTCTATATTATTACATCGTGCTGTATCGCGACCATTTAATACGGATTATTACGAGAACCGGCCCTAATAGATCCGTATCGACCTCAATTGCCCGACCCTGACTCTTGCTGCTGATAATAAATCAAAATTAGCTTCAGGTAGATAGCGAAACAATATTTGCCGAGTATTCTTTTAATATTATACGCGATTTAATATTATATGTTCTCTTCTATTATTGTTTGATTTATTAAACAATATTATAATCGAAATAAAATTTAAAACATACTGATTTATCATAATCATATAGAATAATGGAAAAAGAATTATATTTTATAAGATTTTCGTATCTTCCTTTTCTTATATGATTTTTTAATTTAAAAAAAAATTGCCATTAATATCGAATTTCCAGGAAATATACATTTATCAAATTATTCAAAATAATAGAGAAAAAATTTTCAAATGTCCTTTCTCTTTTTGTTTAATATCTTTATTTCAAAAAGCTACTGAAAGGAAAACAAAATAATCACACAGAGTGTATCAACGAGGAAAAATATCCACATCCGGTAATTTCCTGTCTTTAGGAAATTCCCCTTCTCAAAATGTCATTCACAAGATCTTCTTTTTAAACCACTGAATAAAAGAAACTTCCTGGCATATAAAGAAGCGATACACTCGACAAATATAATCCCAGAACGAGAGGACATAACCGCGTCCTATAATTTTCTCGCTTTGACGAAATATCGTTCGTAAAATCTTGTTAAACTATCGAGCAAAAGAAACCACCATAAATAAACAACATATCGAACAAACCCAAATTCAGAACAATAAAAAGCTCGTCGAATCTATGATTTTCTAAAAACGCCCATATCCTACGATTTTCTTGTTTAAGTAAAATATCATGCGAAAAATCTCGTTAAATTATTGAACGAAAAAAAAGTATCTCAGCAAAAAAAAAAAAAAATAGGATACCGAACAAATCTAAATTCAAAAGAATAAAAAGCTCGTCAAATCTACAATTTCCTAAAAACATCCACACCCCATAATTCCTACTGCTGCTATTCCCTCATCCAGAGTATTCGCAAAGTTTTCTCCTTGAACCGTTGAAAACCAGAAGAAATACACTGCAGAGGAAGCAATACAGTGCAGAAATCTAAATGGAGAAATAAACTTCCTCGGTTAGACGCAAGTCCATCCGACGATAGCTGGTCTGACGGAGCCACCCCCGGAATCAATATGGAGAATACCATCTAACCATTGTAGCAACATATACCAATAGTAACATCAAATCTCTATCCTCCCCTCCCTTCGCCTAAAACCCTCCAGTTCAAAACAATTTCGCCGGGAACGATGCCTCGCCGTCCATTATCCGTCGATTCGACATTCGACGAACCTCTCGCCTAACATAACGCCAGCGAACTGAAGCTCGGAGGAGGGAAATGGGGGTAGCCGGCAGTCAGCCGGCATAAATTATTCATCCTTCGGTTGGAAAACGAGCGAAAGGTTCGTCCGGTTGGCTCGATCATTAGATTGGTCGAACGCCAGATCTAGCTGAACCCAGATACCAGAAACAAATGAAGATGGTTTGGAGCGAAGGATAAGCGTAGTTGTAAAAGGATAGAGAGAGGCAAGGAGCGACATTAGTTACGTGATCCTAGTGGCAATGATTTAGCCGGATGAAGTAAGCGAATTCTCGTTGACACGTGCATCGCCATACGTAGGAGCAAGCCAAATGGACCATCGGGAGCAAATAACTCGATTTGCTCGGTCTACGCGTACTTGGCTGGCTGAAAAGCTGGAGACTCGTCCGGTCGGAGTGAACCGGCACAGAGATGGTGATACATATAGGGTGGCTAACAGGATAATGATACAAACATCGGTTTTTGTTTGTCGAATCGAACAACGTAGGATCTTAACGAGACGACGTATTCTCTTAATTTTTCGTTAGAGCACTCGTATGAATATTCTGGTTTGACTATTTCGATTGGACATTTTGTTGGTAATTTCAGGATGGTTTTACAGATACAAGAAGCAGCGTACGCTGGGCTTGATATTTTTGTTTTATGTCTTGTACATACTTTGTAGGTACTTGGTCAAATACTTTGATCGGTAATGAGAGAAAATTGTGCTACGGGTGTACCATCGTACCATATGTGTATCATCGTATCGTAGGCTGATTTATAGACTCAACAGAATGTTAACATTTTCCTCTTCGAAGCAACCAATATAATTGAACATCTTGCATATACTTGTTTCGTAATACATACTTCATGGGTTGTAACAGACGCGCTACACTTTATATCTAATACCTGGACAAAATACGTGAATCGATAGCTGAGGAAAAAATCACGTTACGTATACATAGAAACGTACGTATCGTAGTATAATAAACCGACATATAGACCCGACGAAGCCTTAATCTTCCCAGCTCGAGGCAACAGCTACGACACGATACGCTACAATTAAAACGAGTATACCCTATTGACCACCCTGTATATACCCCGAAAAGAGATGGAAAAGAGAGATGGAAAGAGGGGTGGTAGGGCATACGCAGGAGCGTGAAGGGGTGGAAAGGAAGAGGGCGGCGGAAGCAAGGAAGTTATCGAGGCGGTAGTGTCACCATAGTCATACAGAGGTGCCCAGTTGTCGAGCAAACTAGCGGAGCCAGTCAGGCAAACAGCTCAGCCGGAGCCAGGGGGCTTCCTAGCCTCGGCCAGCCAACCAGCCAGCAGCCAGTAAGCGGAACACCAAGCGAGTTCTTGTTTTATTCAGTCGGGATCATAAATTACGAATTTAAACACACAATGAAAGACGCTTAACAAGAAGCTAACGCGAGATTGAGAGGCCCCGCCCGGAACACCTCTTCTTCCGGAGGAATGAGCCGAGGTTGGCCAATCCTGGAACAGAACCGCCCTTCGATGTTCAGCCGACCCACCATTTCCACGCCAATCCACTTCGTTCGTTCGTTGCACAGCCGGCTGTTGGATCGACCTATCGGAGAGCCGAGAGAACCCGAAACCAAAACCCGAACCAAACACGAAGCACCTCGACCATGCTTCGAGCGAGTTAAGTCGGATCGGACGAGCTTGGCTCCCGATGCACCCCAGTCGCATACCACTTGGCGAGCCGAGTCGCTCGGCTACTACCCCCTTAACAAGTTAGTATAGTGTACCCAACGATCGACGTGATTTTTCAACCATATTTTCCGAGATGTCGTACCTTAAGTGATATTAGGCGTGCATGATTCGTGAATTTGCAGGGTATCGGTTTGTTATTCGGAGGCAAGGATTTCGGTGGATGATAGAGGAGTACAGTGGTGAAAACACAAGTTGTTGAAGTTTGGACTTTGGGAAAGGGGAACATCTGGGGAGGAAAAAATCTAGTGAGATAAGGACTTTGAACGAAGAGGATTGGACGAGAGGAAAAGGAAGAAATCTTTGCGTTTGAGAAGTCGGAGGTGGACAGTTTATATTGGATCTTAGGGGGAGAGGAAAATCGTATTGGAGAACACAGCGATGGAAAGTTCATGCTGAACTTTAGGAAAAGGAGAGATTTGTATCGCAGAGTGCAGTGATGGAAGGAGGATATATTGGATTTAGAAGAAATTAATTTGTATAGGAGAATAACTTTGTGGTGGGGGAAGATTGCATTAAACTTTAGAAGGAAAAACTTGGAATAGAGAGCACAGTGGTGAGAAACAGATCAGTTTGCATTTCTTAGGAAAAGGGCGGATCTTCGTTGGAGAATGTAGTAGGAAAAAAGGTCATTTTGGAATTGAGGAAAGGAGAAAGTTTTCATTAGAGAACATAGTGAAAAATTTATATGGAACTCTGAGAAAAAAGAAAGTCATATTGTAGAATATAGTGGTGAAAAGAAGGTTATTTTGGACTTCGGGGAAAACAAATTTATGTTAAAAAACACAGTGGTAGAGAATTTACGTTGAACTAGAGAAAAAGAAGAAATTGGGGAACATAATGATCGGGAGAGTCTTGTATTGAGCATCGAGAAAAGAGAAAATTTAGATTGAAACGCAGTGGTCTTCGAAAATCATTTTGGAATATTTTATGTAAGAAAATATCTTGAAAAGTCAATTTGTTAAGAATCCATTAACGTAAATAAAACTATCGTCCACCAAATTTTGGATATTTTGATGAAATAATCTTTCAAATCTATTTATATAGTATTCCAAATTCACGTTGGACTCTGGAGAACCTTAAAGTAGCCACACGTGCTAAATAAAGCTAACACCAATGATAATAATAATCAAAAATAATTTCTCCTAAAAAGAAATATCCCTACAAAACGCATTCTAAAATATCCTGAAGGTAATATTTCGAAAAACCAAATAAACCACATTATGGGAGCGCAACAAAATGATCGGTGAGGAACCAGTCCACCGCCAAATCGTGAGTGATTATGCTTAGTGTGTACCAGTGACCGCGCTCCAAAGTGCTCGACCCGCCCATCATCTGCAAACGATCTTGTCGTTTAAACCCCGGTTTCCAGTCCCGGCCGAAATTTTCCGCTCATTGCCGAACTATGCGTGGTGCGAGATGGTGTGTTCTCTGACCAACAATAACAACAACAACACAAGTGGTAAGAGCTGCACGGACACGGAGCCCTGCACGGACTTGCAGTCTCGTTCGAGCCCAGAGGCGCAGCCAGGCGAGAACATGTCGTCGTTGAGCGACGCTCACAGACGGAACAGTCACTTGGAAGGCGACAGAAGTTCGTCTGCGGGTTCATCTCTGGGCTCGTGTTCGCCGCCTCCTGCATCCAGCCACTCGCCACCGCCTCCTAGACCGCCCTGGTTGCACGATTTTCACGCAGCAGCCGCACCTCATGTTCTCCAATTTTTAAATCTGAGCGCCGCCGGTGGAAGCATGTTGGCCAGTCAGCCATTGGCAGCGTTGCACTCTATGGCTGAACGAAGTCACCATCAGCAACATCAGCAGCACCAGCAGCAACAACAGCAACAACAACAACAGCAGGTTCATCATCAACAGCAACAACAAGCTGCCGGGATTCACTTACCCAGGATCAGCGTTCCATTGTCTACGATCACTCAAGGGCAGGCTTCACCCACTGGAAGTGGAAAACATAGTCCTGCCACTTCTATCACCTCCGTCGGAAGCAATCCGCATGGCATCGACACGATATTGTCGCGGCCGGCGGCCACGCATCCTCAAGCGCCTGTGTCCGCCACACATGCCGCGCTCCAGCCGACGCCGCACCCCCAACACATGACCGCGCCGAGGTACGGCATGCACGCGGGATTCACCGCATCGTCGGGTGAGTATTTTTCCTTATTTTCCCCAGTCTTAATTCACTTTTATTTCGGTCTTATCTTTGTTGGTTTGATTGAATTTCTGAGAAGGTTCCGAGAAGGTTTCGAATTCTTTAATTCATCGATATGGGGAAGGGAGTATAGGGAGGTGGCAGTATAGGGTATAATATAATATAGACGATGTAGATTCAGCAATAGCTCCGTTGTGCAGAGATTTGTAAGTTGAAATTTTGCGGTTGATAATGATTATGGACTGGGAGAACGTAAGAGATACAGAAATCTTAGAAAGAATTGTGCCAATTAATTGCACAGGTACGTAATGTAGGGGAACATGACGCATAGAACATACGCGAGATTCACCATCATATCGTTAGATGAGTATTTTTCCTTATCTTTTCCAGTATTTTTCAGTCTTATTTCTATTGCTGTTATTACGCTTCTGGGAACGTTTTGCGAAGTTTGTTATTTCTTAATTGATCGACATAGAAATGAGAGTGTACCTATGAAAAATATATATTTTCAAGCGTATACAGCAGAGAACAGAATATAACGTAGAAATAGTTTCATTATTGGCAGATCTGTAAGTTAAAAGTTGGGATTTGGAAGGTTTTAGAATCGATAAGGATTGTAAGAGGAGGGAATTTTAATGATACGCACAAGTTTCAGAAAAGATTGCTCTAGTTAATTGTACCAGTGCATAGCGCAGGGAAGTATAATGTATGCACGTAGGATATTGTCGGATGAGAATTTTTATTTATTTTTTCCAACCTGTTTTTGATTCTGTTTAGATTTTCAGAGGTTTATAAAGTTCGGGTTTGAACATTTTTTAATTTATCGATGCGAGATATGACTATGAGAATACTTGTGAAAATAATTAGATGATGGCGAAGATCTTAGGGTGTACAGTACAGGAAATAGAATATAATACGAAAGATATAGGTGTAGAAATAGTTTTGTTGTGAGGAGATTACATAAAATTGGGATTTGAAAGATTTAAAATTGATAGGCAAAGATTGCAGACAGGATACTGTGAATGTGACAGATATAAAAGTGTTTAACAGGAAAGAAGATTATGGTACTTGATGTTTAGGGGACCTATAATACACTCGTATTCATAGAATTTGTCTAAGCCAAAGGCAAATCATGATTTGCGAACCATGATTGGCAAATTATATTGGACGATAAAAATTCAATCGAGAACAACAATATCCAACTTAGAATAATAATTGAAAAGAATTTCATGGGAAGAACGTGCAAGATTCATTTTACACGATTTTTATTCCAATTTTATACAACGCGGATATTAATATCGTGCGAATTAATTTCAATAAAATCAAAAACGCCAGCGGCACCAGATTTATAATTTGACCGGCGGTATGATCGATCGTGTCGACAATCGAAGAATAAAAATGATTCTGTTCCCGTGTAATATTAAAGATTTATACGATATTTCATTCGGCTTAAATGTCGATCGATGTTTGCAATTACTAATATTATCAATAATCCATCATCTTATCCCATTTTCAATTCTTATTTAAAAAATAAAGGAACAAGAAGTATTAAAAGATCGTGTTATAACAAGTGAAGGTTTAATGTTCTTTGCAAACAAGATTTAACACTCGATATTTCTAATGAAATGTTTTTTGCGTTACGAGTAGAAATACTATTTCCTTTGCATTTTCACGATAAAAATATAACACATTCCACTTAGAACCAGTCTTACCAAAAACACAAATACATTTATCGTTTATTCAATTAAGAATTCGTGAAAACATAATATTGTGCATGCGAAACGCCAAATATTGAAAGAAGTAACATCACTTTATAACGAAGAAAATTTACAGTGATTTCTTCACGATAACACTGTCTTTACATACAAACGCATCGGCGTAATATAACTTTGGAATTACCCGAGTAATTCATTCTGTATGTTCTCATAAATCTTAGTACTATTCGTGAAAAGTATTTTTTACATATTTGCCAGTGTAACACGAAAGAAATGCTTCTATCTTCAAAGAAAGTACGTAAGAATTTTTATGCAGAAGCTGTTTTTCTACAGAATTTTTCTGCGATAGTTACTTTTCTATGGAACTTTCCTGTAACGGAGACTTTCCGAATTTCTCCAATTTTCAAACGAACGCGTTATAATATTGATATTATTCAATTAACTCATTTTCCTGTTCCTACAAACTTTTCTTCATCGTTTAATCGTGCAATGTAATTTAATGCGAATGGTTCGAATCTTCTCGAGACATTTCTCTCAACTTTTCTATAAAAATTATTTTTTTATTTTTATAGAATCTTCCCGATTTATCAAACAACGTGCCATAATTTTCTAATTACTCGAATAATTCATCCTGTGCGTTCTCATAAATTTACATCATTCACGAGGATTTCGTTGTACATTCTATGATTTAAAGTGAAAGATTCGTATTAAGGATGTTGTTCGTTAAATTGTTTCAGTTGAAATTAAACGTGTCTTGCGCAAATACCGCTCTGTCCTGTGCACGAGCAATAATCTGTATCTGTCCTGGAGCTCTATCTTGAACTTGATCCCGGATTATCCGTGCATTTAAAATGATTAAAGCGCCAATTATTTACGAGACCCGTTCGTGTCGCTTCGCCGACGAAACGAAAGTGAATTTCGAATAATTTCCCAGGCGATTGCGAATCGTTACACCTGACGGCCGACGAACGCCATCGTAAATTCAACGAAATTTCTACTGCTTATTGAAACTAGAAGAATATAATTTTAATAAAAAGTAATTCATTTGAAAGTTATAAATGAAAATCGATATACACACGTCTGTTTACGTTCATGTAATTTTGGAAAATCGATCGATATTCTGACTGATCTTTGCTTTTACTCCTCTTCTCGTTTTTATTTACAGAAATAATTATAATCTCCACGAAGAGATAATTATCGTTGTAATATAAAATAAAGCACGAACAATGGATATATTATTTTTTGAAATTGTTCGTGAAAATGTTTATTCATATTATGAAATTGTTATTTAGAATCTCTTCATTTTCCTTTTTTATTCTTCTAATACGAAGATATTGTAAAATGATTAAGGAACATTAACATCGAATTTTGATGGATTTACGATATTTTATACGCGATTTATTCTATGTAGATACTGTTTCGTTAAGTACACCGTAATTTATTTATATAAATAAATTTATATAAATTTATGTAAATTGCAGAATACACGTAATAACAAAAGATATATAAACAATTCAAAGTAAAGTGCTACTTAATGATGCAACAATATTGAAGAAATTACAGCCACAGCTTACTTATCCGTCGCTATATTTTTCAATAGTAATTAACGGTATTTACCAAAAAATTGAGTATCTAAACGAAGTCGTTGAATAAATTTCACAAGCTTCGTCGAACTAAATCTCCGGCAATACAGATAATTAATACCACTATCCCAAAGTATGATCAAACTAGCTTACCAATCTGAAGGATACTAATTTCTGATCGCTAATCTTCTCCAGCATTCCCAACTCACACTATCATCTATAAAATTTTCACATTATACCAAAGTCCGATGAATTGGACTGTTCCATATAATTTCTTATTAAATTCTTACTGATAAATGAAACAGTTACGATTCAAATCGTATAAATTAACGAGTCCAACGCGTTGAAATTATTAGCACGCGGATGATAGCCGTACAATTTAGATTAAATTTCAATTACTTTACTTGATCTTGTCTTTATCGTGTGAAATATAGGGTACGAATTTAAACGAAGTGTTTTGAAATTAAAGAATCACATAATTTAGCTGAAAATTCGATTAGCTCGCTTAATTTCCACCTAAATCTTAAATTTCGATTTATGCTCCATATTTTACGCGATAAATGCCACTGATGATCTTTATCACGTAAAATGTAGAATGCGAATGAAAACGAAGAGTCGTGAAATTGAGAAACTTAATCCAAACTTTTATGGATCGCCTGCAATCTAAAGATGACTGACGAACACTGAACTAGTTCAGAGTAAAATAGATTAAAATGAAATCGATTCAAATGAAATGGAAATTTTGTAAGGTGAATTCGATGTACGAGATAGGAAAGTGCTTGAGTCACGTAACACGGTACTCTAAGAGCACGTAAAAGCGTAAATTTAGCCATATTGTTCGATGTAAGTGGTACAAGAGCTTGGCTAGAATCCGAAGTACCCGATTTCATGTCATTAGGTACACGTTTCTGGGCCAGGTCCCCTTCAAACCTTTCCTAAGGCGTAAACACTTCATAAAGATTCCTCCAACAGCTCTCACATCGTGGCCGGCATCGATATCGATTCAATCCTGGCGAATATATCGTCCGCAATAACGTCAAATTTAACTTTGAACATAATTAAATTATAATATTCTTAAAGACAAATTATCGTTTGCCACGATAATTCTATTTTTTTTTTTTTTTTTAAGATTTTAACATTTCAAAGGATTCGACGATTGAAAAACGTTGTAAGAAATACAAAGTTCAAATGACGCAATAATTAATTGTAAATTTAAATAGAGAAACTGATGTTTGCAATAAGAGAAAATTTAGGTTTATCGTTATTTTATCTAATTGTGGTCTTACAACCTGGAAATGGACTTGGCTTTGCTATATTTTCTTAAACTCACACGTACTTATATCTTACTCGCATTCACACGCTCAAAGTTCGCAAAATTAAATCTGTTCTTACGCATTAGGTCGACTCAAAAGCTTCTCGCGTTTTCTAAGGAAATAATGTTCTATGCGAAGCATTCTATTGATCGTTCTATTGATCGTACGTAATTCAACAAAATAATATAGAACAAAAAATGTTGTGCATTCTATTATTTTCTTATAGAACGAAAATTAACATATGTGTGTATATATACACATACATATCTCTGTAAAAACTGTGTAAAAGAGATGCCTGCTAGATACTAAGAATACTGGCCAACCATATCGACAACAGTTACGTATTCTCTGATTTATTCATTGCTCTTATTAAATAGAAATCC